GGGGTTGAGGCCAGTGACAAAGGATGCTGGTGCGTGATAAGGGAAGCTCCACCGCTGCGGGTTATGGAGATCGGTGATTGACAAAGGCGGGCCCATTTGTCAAGGGCACTTGGCCGGTTTTGGGCTTGTGACGTGCCTCCAACTCATTCGCCATTTTGGGTGTTGATATTGGTCAAAGGGAGTCGGGGGCATTTTTGCTCAGAATGACTGCTGGGTGGCCCGCGGGCCATTTGCGGCGTCGCTCAGGCGAGCGGGCCGGTCCAAGCGCGGCTCTTTTGTGCCAGTCGAGCCCAAAGTGAATCTTTTCGGAAGCCCATCACAGGCTTGAAACCACGAGCTCATCTTCAAACCGCACCCACCACGGGTCCAATTGAAGTCCTTGAAACCAAACGACAGTCTAAGGCGGCACGAAATCCTACATTGAAATCACAACCCGAATCACCCGGCATTTGAGGCTGCGCGCCGGACGTTTTTTTTGCTCTCGTCTGCCGTCTAATCCGGCAGAACGGAAAATTTTGCCAAAGGGAAACAAAGCAACGGGCTCTTTGAGGCTGTCAGTTGGGGTTGGAGTTAAAAATAAACAAAAAACAGCCGAAGAAAGAGGCGATGCGCAAAGCCAATATGGGAAACATTCGGATTGGACTTGAAAACCTTTCATAGCGCACCCCGGTCCGGGAAACAGGCTTCCAAAACCCCGCCGTGTCAGCACGAGCCTGTATTAAGAGCCGAAGCCGGCCGTGAAACGAACTTGAAACCCTATCCCTTGCTTACAACACGAAGCTTTGTGCAAGACTCCGATCTTGTCTTCACACCCTAACACAGGCTTGAAACCCTACTTCGGAACTCCGTTCCATGCTTGAAACACGAATGCATACTTCAAACCGTACTTTGAAACCTTAACTCTTATTTGAAAGACGATCCCCGTTGTAAAATCCTGATGCAGGCTTGAAGGCCGAACCCTACCCGGAACCCTTCCCGGACCCAGGCTTCAAAACCCTTATTTCAAACTATAAAGCAGGCTAGAAACCATACTTTGAAACCCTACTCTCGATCTTTGAATTTCTACCCTAACCTAGCGCGCGCTCGAAACCCCAATCTTGGGTTCAGAACGGATTTTGAAAATCCTTGACAAGCCCAACTTGTAACCGCGAGTCCGTAACTGTGAAACGTAAACGCTCGCTTGAAAAACCCCAATCAGGCAGAGCAACCGGCACTGTGAGCCATGAAAGCCGAAACCAGGTGGTTCAAAACACAAAGAGCCAATCTTCAAAGGCCAACCAACCCTATTTCCAAACCTGAACCGCCGTTTGAAAGAAACCTTCACCCTTGATTTGAAGCCTCAACCAAAGCGCCGCGCCGCCTTGTGAGCACGTTGCGACGGCTTCGAGTGGGCTTGTTGATGTGTTATTGTTCAGGAGCGAGGTGTAATTAAGCGCTACGCTTGCAGGAAATTGATGCCCATTTCCTCCCGGAAGGTTTGAAATGCGGATCGATCGTCAACTTCAACTCCATCTCCCCCACCCCCCACGCCCCACCCCTCTCACAATGCCTCGTTGGCGTGGACACGTGCTCCGCCGCTGCATTTGAAAGCCAATTCCAATCGCGGTCGCTCATCGGGACTTCATTCCGTGGAGATGAAGGCGATTGATAAGAGCCCGCAGGAAAAGTCACCTCGGCTCATTAACTTCACGGCAAGTTGACTTTAGACGGCGGTGTCGGTGGAGGGGCGCGGCCGTAACATTTCACTCCAGTAATAGATTTGGAATGGCTTGTTTTTAGAAGCCAGTTGTGAAATCCCTGGAAGTGACACGCCCGCCCCGCGAGAAGCGTTGCTAGGCGACGCTGAAAAGGCAGCCGGCTCGCTGACTTTTCGACGCACGAAACGGCTCCCGGCTCTTGATTGTTTGCTTCGGGTCACGTTCAATCAAACAAACACGATTCGTGTAAGCGCACTCGGTTAAATTTTGAATGGCAGGAGAAGTTTAGAGGATTTGGAGCATTAAGCGTTTTCTGAGAATGAAAGTAACATTGAGGGAGGGGATGGAGCCTTTTTCCTTTTCAGCAGTAGTCAATCACTGATTTTTTTTGGCCATGAGGAAGTACCCTGGTGCCAAATGCGAAACATGATCAAAAGGTGGTTTGCCGCCGCGAACGTTGGCGCAGTGCTGCGGACATGAGCGTTTGCTGATTTACCTGAGAACGTGTGTTTGTGCAGAAACGTTGCGAGGTGCGCTAAAGCTCCCGGGCGGCCTCGCTCGCCTCTACTGCGCTATTTCAGCATTTCCAATTAGCTCATCACGGCTCAAACAAAAGGCGATGGGGGGGGGGGGTGAGATTAGCAGGCATCTTCTTCTGTAACAAGCCGACTTAATCTCTCGCCTCGCTCTCTCCTTTATTGATTCTAACTGTCTTTCTTTCCTCTCTCTCTCTCTGTATCCCTCCACCACATTGATTTCTATCTTGGCATGAGTAATGACCCCCCCCCCAAAAAAAAAGCATCTACAACAACACTTTTGGGGACTCCCAGCTCTTAATCAATGAGTGAATCAATCACGGGGGTCAGGCGAGACCCTTCAGTTGCTCCGCAAGTTGCATGGAACTTTTGCTGGGAGGGGTTTGGCAGTTTTGGTGATTTGCAACTGCTTCGTTCAACATTCCAAAGATGAATGAACAGAAAAGTTGTGCATCAGTCGCCGCAATGGAGAGCGATTGAAAATCTGTTCTGAGAAAGCTCATCCAATGCCTTAAAAAAAAATTATATATATATATATATATATTTTTTTTTTTTTTTTTTTGGGTCCGACAAAGCTTTTGTATTTTTCCCCATCTAAAAGTGGACACGGTGTGCAGATTACACTCAAGCCCACGTGTCCGAGCGGAAAGAGGCCTCTCCACAGCCATTAGCGGCGACACGCTGCAGTTTAAATTGCAGGCCTCAAAAAACACCACCTCAGCGCTCACTTCATTTCAGTTTGATTTTACACCCAAATATGGGGAGGTGGGGGAGAAAAGAAAAGAAAGAAAAAAAAACACCTGTCGGCCTCGATAAACACGGTTTCGAGTGAGATAATTGGCCTCCGTGACCACACGCCAGACAAAGCAAATGTTTTTGAACAATCAGCCCCCAGCACAGCACCCCCACTCCCCTCACCTTCCTCAGCGTGAGTGTGGGCAACACTCGAGTACGCATCGGACACAGGAAAAAGGATTCAACAAATAGTCGAGCCATAAACGAGCTGAACGCAGCTGAATGGCCGTTGTGCTGACGCCCTGATGGATACGCTGTACAAGAACAAGACAGATGTCTCAGCTCCTCTCGGAGGATAAAGAATAGATAATCGAGTGCCGCTCCAATTTAAAAATCACTGTCCAGTTTAAGGCCCAAGTTTGAGACAGTTGGCTTAAGATAAGGAGCCAGGGGGGCCCCAAGTCTACAGGATGGGATGTACAAGGGCCACTGGGACCAAACCTCATCACTTCTGTCTTCTCTTCATTGAAATTGAAGGCATTTATTGTGACATTGAGGTCTTGATTTCTTCCAGGCAGGGAAAAATTGGCCTCAATGAGAGAGCGTCTTTTTTGCTCAGTGGGACATACATGGAGACCTGACAGTCATCCGCACAGCAGTGGAAGGAAATAGCATGTTTCCTTAAGATGGAACCCAGCTGGAGAAGATACGGTGAGAACAGCGGAGGCCTCAGAATTCAGCCCTGCGGAACACCACACGACAGTGGGGCAGTACGTGACTCAGAGCAGCCAAGTTCTGTCGGCGAGATAGGACCTAAACCACTCATGGGCGCTCCCGCCAATGCCCACCAAGCGCTGCAAACGAGTCAACAGAATACTGTGATCCTTTTGGTCAAAATGAGGTAAGGGGCCGCCGGTGGGGGGAGTGGGGGCGGGCTCTCCGTAGGCCCACTTTGACGGTCGCTGATGAGAGGGGAGTGGCCCTCCTCAAATCACCAAGGGGGGGAAGAGAGCTGGCAGGAAGCGGCGCTCTGTCCAGATGGGGTCTCATCTGGCTGCCGTACCATCCCCTCGCTTGAAAAAAACAAAAAGACCCGCTCCTCCTCCCACAGCAGGAGACACCGGCGAGGCTTTGGGTCCCAAATCCCCAGGAATGGACGGAGCGAGTCGGCGGCACATCAAAAGTCCCCCCCCAATAGCGGCAGACGGATTCAGCGGTGACATTTGGAGCTGCTCAGATGGTCAGATGGAAAGGTCACACTTTGGAGCTCGCCGGATGAAATGAACGACACGGCAGGGCCACCCGGAGATGCCACGCAGCCTTGATTTTTATTTCATAAAAACATTGAAGTCAAGGAAGCCCTCAATAAAAATGGCGAGAAAGAATTAACCCTTTATTGCATGCTTTACCTTTTATTCAAATCCATCCAAAATTTAAAAAAAAAAAAAAAGTAAGTGAAAATGTAACATAGAACTAAGTTAAACAAACGGAATAAAAATAAAATATTGATGGAAACAAAAATGTCAATAAAGCACACTTGGTGAAAAGATGAGAGCAGCTTTTGAACCGCAATCTTGGGTCTTGCCCGATGGCCGGCTGACCTCACACGTGGAGAAAAAAGAAAGCAGCGTGGGAAATGCTTTCTACTGTCGTGACTGATGCGCAACGAGGAAGAAGACGGAGCAGCTGCCCGCCATGCTCGAAAGGCTTCGAAACCGCACCAGCAGCAAATG